CCTGCGTCGGTTATTCCGCGACGGTTATCGTCGCATATCAAGCTTATATGTGAATAAAACTGTATGTCATCTTTGATGGTGAGCCTCTCTGTTGTAATGTCCGTATAACCACTCTGATGATGGCTTATGTGAGTCGAAAGATTAGATCGAGCAACAGCATAATAAAATATCCAAATGTTAGACTGATTCTTTTTTATTTACTCTAAAGACTTTTTACGGAGCTTAGAAAGGCTCATGATCAGACATAATAGACAATATATGTTTGAATATTGTTCTTCTGCTCTTATATATATATATATATATATATATATATATATATATATATATATATATATTATTAAAATGGACAAAGTCCGAAAATTATTTTAAGACATTTTTATGTTTATACGTTCTTTTTATAGATACAAGTATTTAAGTAAATACACTGTTTATAATAAACAGTATTAAATAACATTTACCGGCCTGAGTGTCCGAGAAATTGTTATAGAAAATATTCGTCCTCCAACAGGAATCGAACCTGTATCCTATACGGAATCGTCATATAGCCTGACGTGCCTTTGACCGATTTGGCCACAGAGGAGCGTTCGGTTAGCAAGGTCGATGTTACTGTCTTTAAACTACAATCATCCATGAATCTCTCAGGTACATTCATATCTGCTCAATGCGTATCCAAATGGAAACATATGACGTCACACATTATAAAATGGACAAAGTTCGTCAATTATTTTTAAGACATTTTTATGTTTATACATTCTTTTTAAAAGGCACGTCAGGCTATATGACGGTTGCGTATAGGATACAGGTTCGATTCCTGTTGGAGGACGAATATTTCCTATGAAAATTTCTCGGACATTCAGGCTGGCAAATGTTGTTTAATACTGTTTATTATTAATACTGTTTATATATATATATATATATATATATATATATACATATATATATATTCATGAATTATTCACACAAAAATAAATGCAAAGGTTAATGATTTAATTGGCGAGAAATAATTGTGTATTTACTTAAATAATTGTATCTGTAAATTGTGTGAATAATTCATGAATTTGTAAATTGATTGCACGTTTATCGAAATTATATTATATATTTGATAAATATAAAAATAAATAAAAAAAATCCATTTCAACAATTTTTATAAAAAAATAAATATTTTCGATGTCCATTTCCGGTTTTATATAATATTTTTCAAATAAAACAAAACGTCTGGACGTCGAAACAATATATATTTATTATATATATATATATATATATATATATATATAAATCAATCAACAAGATAAATAATAAAAATCAATGACTTTAAGAATTCTCACAAGAGATTTTGGAAAAAATGAAAGAGTAAACAAGAAAATGAATTTTATTGATCAGCAAGAAAAGGGTTTGAGGAATTTGGTGCTGCCAATTTCAAACTGGGGAAAGTACTTTGGCTGTAGCTATGAAAGCCACCAAAGATATTTTGGCAAGCATGCACATAGAAAGAAAAGAAAAAACACGGGTGCAGAGTAACTTTCGGTGTGGAATATAGACCTCGTTTGTATGGACCTTGTGCCCTTCTTGGAATTATTCCTACAAACCTTTTAAGAATAATGGGATTTTAAAAGATAGCAAATGTAGATTGTCGTTGATTTGGTTTGGTTTGGTTTACGGCATCAATGGGTTATTTAATGCCGACAACATTTTTCTTGCTGGTAATATTTTGTTTTGTCAAAAATCTATTTCTGGTAATATTTTTCCTTCAAAAATATATTGCTGGTAATAAATTCAAAAATGTATAGCTGTTAATATTGTTTTTCAAATATGTATTGCTAGTAACATTTATTTTTAAAAAACATTGTTGGCAATATTTTTTTTTCAAAAATGTATTTCTGGTAAAAGTTTTTTTTTTTTCTTGAAAAAATTATTGCTAGTAATAATTTTTTAAATGTATTTCTGGTATTAAAACCTATTTTTACACTTTCATAGTGTTTTTACCGCAATTTCTGGGTTAACTATTTGCCCATAGCTTGGACCCTAACAGATGCTACCACCCCGGGTCAGGGTGGACCTGGGAACACCAGCAATTAAGAGGTGGTTCCATGCTTCTAAAAACCTCCTGATCAGAGGCCTTGCTGCTGAACGTAGTTTATCGTCTTACCCAGGACGCGGATGTATTTTATCGTCTTACCCAGGACGTCGATTGACGTTGCATTTACATTTTTGAAGATTGTAGTTATCAGGGAAGCAACAAATCGGAAGGAGTTTCCGCAAGCGGGAAGTGCGAGAAAAGAAATAGTTGGAATAAAAGTGGCGGTTACATTTAACTAGTTCAACGGTAAAAAGGCGGGACCTAAATGTCAATCTAGTAGAACGTTTGAATTCATGTAGACGGGGCAACACGGAAATAAAAAGAAAATCGTTAGAGCATTAGCCAGGAAATATTAATAGAAAACACAAAGGGAATCTACATCACGTGGGTGAGAAAGCGACTAAAGTCGAGACGCGAAGTGATATGGTTATTTACCCACGCACGCATGGATTCTCCCAGTTATAAATAGGAGCAGGTACTGCCTTTTGGAGAGGGAAGTTTCCAGCAGTCAGCTCTGACTGTCGGACCGAACATTCTTGCTGTAACACTCTTGTTTGTATATGATTGTATTGCTGTTTTTGTTATTATATTTGTTTAACTCAATTCCTCTTTTTGTGTCTTTATTTCTGGCTCTAAAAAGGCCACAACACTATCGATGTCTGTTCTGTATCTCTCTCTGTTCATTATCTATCTATCTATCTATCTATCTATCTATCTATCTATCTATCTATCTATCTATCTCTGTTCATTATATATATATATCTGTCTCTGTCTGTTATTATTATCTATCTCCCTACCAAACTATCCCAGTTTATCTATATCTGTCTCAGTATGTTTATCTATCTATCTATCTATCTATCGTGGTTATTTAACCACGCACGCATGGACCTAACAGCTATAAAGAGGAGCAGGTACTACCTTTTTGGAGAGTTAAGTTTCCAGCAGTCAGCTCTGACATTCGGACGGAACAATCTTGCTGTTGCACCCTCGTTTGTATATGTTTGTATTACTGTTTTTGTTAATATATTTGTTTAACTCAATTCCTCTCTTTGTGCCTTTATTTTTGGCCCTAACAAGGCCACAACACGAAGTCAGGATCGATTATATCGCAGATCCTTCTTTGAATCTTGTCAAGAACCTCGAGATGGATAACAGAGACACCGGACAAAATAAGGCAGCAGTACGGATTTGTAAATGTGCAAGATGGATTCTGACGAGAAAAAGATAACCCTTTTGGCACGGCACAGTGGCGCAAATTTCTTTGCGGTAGATGCAACATTGATTCGATATAGTCGTTGCACTTCAATGTATTGGAAGCGTGATGCTAAGAAAGTTCAGTGTGTTGCTCTGATGGAATCTAACATCAGCAATACTGATGTCAGGTAGAATTCATTCTTACTTTTACTAGTTTTCTTTGGAAATCTCTGGGACAGGTATTTGAATTTTTCAGTTATCTTTCAATGGATTTAAATTTTCTACTATCATTTTTTTCAATTAAAGTGACAGTTTGAAAATGTCTCACAACCCGATTGAAATACCAAAAAAATCATTTTTCATTTCGTACAGATTAGATTTAGGCTATTATCTTTCAAATAAAACCAAAATTTTACTCTAAAGATTGTAGGCATAGAAACCACGATTGTCTCCCTTTCATTGACATCGTCACGAGGGTCGATGAAGTCGTTCCAGCACAAGTCAGTTGAAAACTTGTCGTCATGAAGAGAATTGAATAAAAACAAAACGTTTGCAAAATGATTGCATATTTATTATTTAAAAAAATGGGATGAAGAAACAGATAAAAAAATAAACGGGATTCAAGAATGTTATGGTCCGGTTCCTTGTACCATGGTGATAGTCCAAGGTAGAACCAAAAAGAAGAATTTGTACACGGATATGGAATAACACAGATATATTACAAACAGGAATATATACAGAGAAGTAAAAAAGTGTTAGTACGAACAATCAGGTTTAGTAGTAATTGTCTGAACGCGACTCTGTTTCGGACTGCCTCTGACTCGACTGACTAACTCGGTCGCTCTGACTGACTGACAGACTCCTGACGGACTTCACTGCAGACTTCAGACTGAACAGTATTTATTCAACCCCCCCCCTAACGAGGGCATCATGTGGCACAAGGCCAGTTTAACGTGGGATCACAGAGGCCGTGGACTCTGTCAAAAATATGCTCTTTGAACCCGTATAAACGGGTTCAAGGTCGGTTTACCTTCCCGAAAGAGACTCGTAGCCTCGTTCGGGTTCCTCCCCGCCCGAAGGCAGAGAGTTCAACCGATCAGCCGGCCAGTCGGTCTCCCGACTTCGGACTGAACTCCTTGCTTCCTCTTGAGGCGCAGTATTTATTACGTATGGAATAGTCCATTATGTCCCATAACAAAGAAGATAGAAGATGGCGACTGACGTTGCATTTAAACTTAACATCAGGAAGAGACAGTTGAGGTTTCGGGAGGCAAATAATGAGGAAAGGGGGCTTGGAAAATCAGATACTCACGTGGCACATAGGGAACAAGACAGACAGAGGAAAGCAACGCAGAACATACTTGGGGAGCTTGAGCAAATTTTATGGCGGAACAGGGCATCGGAGAATAACAGAAAGACGAATCTTATTATCACCGGCCGCAATCTGAACAACATAAGGTATGCAGGTGACACAGCGTTGATAGCAGGCACGGAAAGAGAGCGCCAAATACTCCTGCAGAAGGCAGTGAAGGAACGTGAGAAGAGAGAGGATTAAACATCAACTGCAAGAAGACGGAATGCAAGACTGTTAGCAAAAGGATGAGCCCAAAGTGCTAATTGCAAATCTGTAGGAGCGAAATCAAATAAGTGCAGAGATTTGAATATGATGGAAGTGTTTTAACAGAGGACGGGACGTGTGACATTGAAATCCGAAAGAGAATTGGGATAGTCAGAGAATCATTCCAAATGTTAAGCAGTGTTGATAGATAGATAGATAGATAGATAGATAGATAGATAGATAGATAGATGTGGTGAATACATTGAGAAAGATAGATGGATAGATAATGAAGAGACTGAGATAGATAGATAGATAGATAGATAGATAGATAGATAGATAGATGGATTGGTCACTGAGATAGCTCATTGAGATAGATAGATAGATAGATAGATAGATAGATAGATAGATAGACAGATGGATGAATAGATGGATAGATAATTGAATAGACTGAGATAGATAGATAGATAGATAGATAGATAGATAGATGGATTGGTCAACTGATAGCTATAGATAGATAGATGGATAGATAATGATACAGACTGAGATAGATAGATAACTAGATACTATAGATGAATAGATGGATAGATAATAACAGACTGAGATAGATAGATAGATAGATAGATAGATAGATAGATAGATGTGAACACATTGAGAAAGATAGATAGATAGATAATGAAGAGACTGAGATAGATAGATAGATAGATAGATAGATAGATAGATAGATAGATAGATAGATTGGTCACTGAGATAGCTTACAGAGATAGATAGATAGATAGATAGATAGATAGATAGATAGATAGATAGATGGATTGGTCACTGAGATAGCTTACAGAGATAGATAGATAGATAGATAGATAGATAGATAGATAGATAGATAGATAGATGGATCACTGAGATAGCTTACAGAGATAGATAGATAGATAGATAGATAGATAGATAGATAGATAGATAGATAGATAGATCACTGAGATAGCTTACAGAGATAGATAGATAGATAGATAGATAGATAGATAGATAGATAGATAGATTTTAACTGACACTATAGATGAATAGATGGATAGATAATGAACAGACTGAGATCGATAGATAGATAGATAGATATTAACTGAGATAGATAGATAGATAGATAGATAGATAGATAGATAGATAGATAGATGTGAACACATTGAGAAAGATATATAGATAGATAATGAAGTGACTGAGATAGATAGATAGATAGATAGATAGATAGATAGATAGATAGATAGATAGATAGATATTAACTGACACAGAGAGATAGACAGATAATGAATAGATGGATAGATAATGAACAGACTGACATAGATAGATAGATTGATAGATAGATAGATAGAGAGATA